TTGGAAGTTTGGGGGATAAAAAATTTTGCCGGGGAGGAAGGGGGGGGGGAAGTAAGAGAAAAGGGTTTCTTCAAGAGTTTCGCTGTGTGGGGGAAGGGGGTAGGGGTTCGGCTGGAAGGTTTGGGGGGAGGGGGTAAAATTTTTTTGGGGGGGCTTATTGTGGTGGGTTTTAAAAATGGAAAAATGTTTTTAATTTTGAGTGCGGGATTACAAAAACTTTATGGGGAAAGGGTTGGGGGGCCCGGGCTTTTTCCGGAGATGGGAAACAGGGAATAAGGGGGGTTTTAAAAGGCGTTAAAAAACGTGTGTAAAGTTGGAGGAGGGGGGGAAAGGGGAAAATTTTTTTTTCGGGGGACCCCCCCTTTAACGGCCGGGTGAAAAAAAAATAAAAATTTTTTAAATTATTTAAAAAAATAAATTTATAAATTATAAAAATTATTTAAAATAATAATTATTTAAAAATTTAAAATTTATTAAAAATTATAAAATTTAAAATATAATAATATTTGAGTTCCTTTTTCAAACTTTGAAAAAAAAAATTGAAAAATAAAAATAATTAAATTAAAAAATTTTCCATTAAAAAAATGAAAAAAAAAAAAAAAAAAAAAAAAGGGCCCAAAAAAAAAAAAAAAAAATCCTTCGTATGTTGGGTGGGGAAAGAAAGAAAAATTCCCCGTCTCATGCATTATTAATCGCAGGTGGTTGGCATCCAACCCGGGGGGGCTCAGGAGGCCCATCCCCCGGGGGGAAAAACGACGATTTGTTTTTTCTGGTTATAGAGATTTGGGTTTTAAAAAAAGCGGTAATTTGGCCTCATACTAAACTGACTTTAAAAAAATGTAAAAAATTGCTAACATAATTCACACACACACCACACACACAAACCACCACACACATATATTATCATTCAGGACCCGTACACCGTGTATTTGGGCCCCTAATGGAGTAGCGGCACCATTTGGGAAACCCCCACCTAGCCAAGCCGTAAAAAAACTAAGAAAGTGCAAAGGGTGCAACAAGACTGTCCCGGGGCTAAGAGGGATGTCCTACGAGGAGAGGTTAAGGGGAAACAACCTACACACTGGGGGACAGGGAGATATGGGGGACATAAACGACATACAAAAACTGAGAGGGAAATTTACAAGGGGGGACAAAGGCAGGATTTCTAGAGATTGGAACAGTAACAAGGGGGCCGTTTGGAAGTGAAGACCCAGATGAATCACAGGGAAATTTTTGGGAATTTTTTCTTCAGCCCCAGAGTGGGCAGTAAGGGAATATTTGGGAAGCGATGTAGTGGGGGCATGATCCATACAAAGCTTTAAGCAGAGGATAAAGTTTTACGCCTCAGGGGGGGAAATGACCTATAGCGATCAGTGAAGAGGGGGGGCCAGGGGCTCGGACTCGACCCTCGCAACCTCAACTGGGAGTACAACTTGGTAACACACCCACAAACACACACACCAACCACACATTCACACACACACCCCACACACCACACACACACACACCAAAACACAAACACACACACTCCACACACCACCCCACACACAACACACCACACACACACACAAAACAAAACACACAAAAACAAAACCCACACACACCACCACCCAAAACACACACAACACACCACACAAACACACCACACACCACACATAACACACACACCACACACACACGCACACACACACACACACACACCACACACACACACAACACACACACACACACACAACCCCACAACAACACACACACACACACACCCACACACACACACACACACCACACAACCACACAAAACACCACACACAACACACCACGCACACACAACACACACACCCCACACACACACACCCACACACACACACACACCACCCCACACACACACACACAAACAACACACACACACACACACCACCACACACACACACACAACACCACCACCACACACACCAAACCACACACACAACGCCACACACACACACACACACACCAAACACACGCACACACACACCCCACACACACACACACACACACACACACCACACACACACACCACACACAAACACACACACCCCAACACCAACCCACACACAAACACACACACCCCAACACACACCAAACACACACACCACCACAACACACACCACACACCACAACACACACACACACACACACACACACACACACACACCACACAACGGGACAACACTACACACACAACACAAAAACCACAACATAACACACCACACACACACAACACAACACCCAAATTGGTAAAACGGTAATTAGCAAAAACCATTTTTAAATTTGTATTTTCTAAAATTTTCCTTGTAGTTTTAAAATTTTTATTTTTTTTTTATTTATGTTAATGAAAAATTAATGCTTTTTTTAACTAAAGAACTTTGAAAACTTACCTAACCTTATTACAACAACGCAAATTTAATTAAGCTAATTCAGCTAAAAATGTTTAGATAATTTTTAAATAATTTTATAAAAA